TGAAGGGTATAGGCACAGGTGATGTGGAGGGGGCAGGGGGGCACATGCCTCCAAAAATTTCTGTGCCCACAGCGGGGTGTGGGGCTGCAGCTGAGCTGGACCAGCTCCGGGCAGGAGCCACCTCCATGGCCCAGCAGGCCAGACCCAACGTGGGAGGGACCGCCATACTGCCAAAGATGCTAAAGGTGAGGCGCAGCAGCGGCGGAGTGGAGTTGTGCCCCCATTGCTGCCAGTGGCACAGCGTTCCTTCCCCTGGTGGGTCCCACCTGCTGGGCCACTGAGCCCACGGGGAGAGGGCAGTATGGCGGGGAGCCCCGAGCCTATAGCAGGAAGCCCACTTCCTGCCTTCTCCCTCCCCACATAGCACGGCCAGAGCAGAAGAACCTGCCTGTGGGGCCAGGGGGAAGCCAGGCTCTGTGCTCTACTCCAGCAGCAGCTGGGGCTCAGGTACTGCTGGGCTGGTGGGGCAGGGGGCTGTGGGCCCTGGCCCTGCGGCAACAGGGGGAAGAGGGAAGATGCAGGCTGGGAGTGAGGGGCATCAGCAGGCTGTAGCTGTGGGTTGGGAGGGAGAAGCCATGCTGAGGAAATGGGGATCATATGGAGGAAAAGTTTGGGAAGCACTGATTTACGCTGTTCAGGAGGATAGGAGTGGGATGAGTTGAGCCACACTTAAATCCTGAGACTGAACCCATGGGGGCAAGGGAATTGTCTCTACAGCCCAACAGTCCTGTGCATCTGCTCTAGTGGTAGACTGGGGCTGTGGATACTTGCCCATTATATACTGGGTCCCAGTATATTATTTTGCATAGGCTGATAATGGCTAAAAGGAAATGACTGAGTTGAGCTAGAACCAGATGACTTAAAATACAAAGGAAGTGCTTTCTAGTGTCAGGAGGGGCAGCAACTGTTGCAGTCTGGGATGGTGACAGGGGACCTCATGTCACCTCCTCTGCCTGTGCAGGGCTTCTCAACTTCTATGAACAAGGTGCTCTGGTTGTTTCATGGGTTTTTAGCTGATTTAAGAGACCAGCAAGAACCATCAACAGGACATGGTCTGACCATGAGTCAAGAGCAACTTGCAGTTGCCCCTCCTTCCTTACCTAAATATGACAGCAAGTCGATCAAGGGGCACAGTAGGGTCTGATGAGAGGCCATTGCTCGGCTCCTGAGAAAGCAGCTGGGGAGAAGAAGCAAACATACACTTGAGATTTCATCAACACACAGAGATCCCCCAGCTGGATGCCACTGCCCTGTGGAGAGGGCCCAAAGATCATGAAATGCACACTGCCTCTTCTAGATCTTCCCAGAAACGGTCATCCCTTGCATTATAGCTCAAGCAGAACAGAAACCTCCTCTGGGTTACCATGTGGAGGCAGCATGCCAGAACTGGGCATAATATTGAGTGTGAATGGAGTCGTGGCCTCTGGGATGGAAGTGGGGCTCGCTAGAAACCTAAGCAGACACGAGTCTCAGCTGTACAAAACACCAAGCTAACTAACTGTCCACCTGGCAACCAGTATTACAAACAGAACAGCAGCACTGGGCCCTACCAAGAGAAGCTGTCTAGTGGCTGAGAGCTCCATAGAGATGACTGATCTCTGCACTCCGACCTGCAACACGCAACTCAACTCAGGTTCCGTGGTGAGCCATTCAGGCCTCATGGCTCTAAAGCTGTCGGTCATTTCAGGAGACACAGATAGTCCCATCTCTCTTTGATCCTTTCCATTTCCTGGCTAGAGCCCTTTCCCAATTTTCTAAGTCAGTCAAAGCTCCAAAGGCATCTTGGCTCTCATACTGCTGGGATGGACAGAACCTGGCCTAGGACCATCACTACCATCTGTGATTCAGAGGTACAGGCTCTGGAGACTACATATTCCAGAAGAACACTTCATCTTAGCCCTATCAGATGCAGCTTAAATCCAGATGAAGCACTGCATACTGGGAAAGTGGACTTTCCACCTGCTGTATCTGCTGTTTCACACAAACTATCTATAGCCCCCAGGGCTACTAGCAAATCAGTTCACGTTTCTGTAGCATTTCTGTGTGTTCTGCATATTTGGTTCCCAAACCCAGGAAGCTGTTCCACTCCTCCTGGAGCCAACTCCTCAGCTGCTGTCAGTCTGGGGAGCTACTTTGAATTTAAGCAGGCCAAGTAATTTAAACCAGCTGAAATCACAGCCTCACATTTTCAAGAACTTCCATCATGCTCTTGCCCTTCCTATACTGTTAGCTAAAGGGAAGAATAAAACTGCTCCATGCTACAGACCTCGCATGAAAGGGCAGGTTTTCTGCTGTGCAACTTGCACAGAGAAAACCCCCGGGCACAAACCCAGCCACACGACAGGGCGAAGTTCCGTGGCTCCAGTACCCGGGACAGACCTTTTTGAGCGCCATCACCTGCACGGCGCACAGCTCGCTGAGGCATTCCGCGATCTTTTCCAAGGGTAGCCTGGCCAGGACCAACGCTGTCCCTGAAAAACAGAAGGTAACAAGTTCAGGAAGAGGTAGGAGGTCAGTCAACTTCAGGCAAAACTGTCGGCAGGGATCTGACTGCAGCACAGTGCCTAACACTACCTACAGAACATAGGAAAACCACCCCCTGCCCTCATGCAAGCCCACAGCGAGCAGAAAAGCACCAGGCTGAAACATCACTCTAAATACAGCACAGCCTAGGGCCAATTTTCATTTTGATCAGGCATTGAAATGAATGCTCATGATGGGAGATAAAAAGGATGCTGGTGTCTTCGAGTAAAAGCCCCACTGAATGAATGATCCAGCTACCAGACTCATGTCTACCCAGACACGATGTGCAAGGAAGGGGCACGCATTTCTCTAACATTCACTAAGGATCCAATAATAGCACTTGTGTCCTCCCCCAGGGGAGGACAAGGAGCAATGGCCATAAACCATCAGCGGATGGTTTCAGGTTGGATGCAAGAAAGAACTTCTTTACTGTCAGGGTGACCAGAATCTGGAACAGACTTCCCAAGGAGGTGGTGCAGCCCCCAACCTTGGAAGTCTTTAAGAAGAGACTGCACAGACACCTTGCTGGGATCATTTGATCTCAGCAGTGTTCCTGCCCAGAGCAGGGGGGTTGGACTCTATGATATTTCGAGGTACCTTCCAGCCCTTAATTTCTATATTTACTTGTCACATTTCAAAGTGCTACCAGCTGCGAGTCTTTGAATAAAGTATGATGATGTTATACGCAGGATAGCTTATAAGACAGGATATATCTATTTTTCGTTCCTATCAGACTCTGACTGAATTTTTATACAGCAAAAAATTGCTAGGCAAAAAACATGTACGGAAAACATTCAGCCAAAAATGATCTTGCTGGTACCTGAGAGTGAACTGTGAAAGCAGGGGGCTATAACAGACATTTTAGACTCTCACAGAAACAGGGAGGCTACTTTTCAGCAGATGAGTGTTTAGTCCCAACCACAACATCTGACTAAGCAAGTCAATACCTTTGAGGAGTCCTACAGCAGCCTCTGGAGACAGCATGAAGGAATCCAGGGAGCGGGCGATCTCCAGCAGTCCATTAAAGTGCTGAGCCATGTGGTCCCGGCAGACTGAGCAGATATTATGAATGGCTTTGGCGGCAGCAGAGGCCAGCGGCCTGTCGCACAGACCTTTCATCAAGTACCCGAGCACAGGATCTGAGAGCAAGGGGGGGGAGAAAAACCCACAGGGAGACATCCCATTAAACACACGCACACTTCTGGGAAATTTGGTTTATTTCTCCTGCCCTAAGCTCTGCAGAGAGCAGTATCCCACCCCAGGAAGGCAGGACAAGTGCTGAGGCAGGTCTGCACTAATAGTGAGACTCACCCAGGAAATGAGGGTTTCTGTCCACGACTTCGCTCATCTCCCCCACCAGCTCAATGCTGGTGTAGCGCACAGCAGTGTGCACCGTTTCCGGTAGGCGCACCACCCCTTCCAGCACTTCCACTAATGTCGGATTATTCTCCCTGGGGACAGAGGAAAGCAGTTAGTACTGGGGCTGTTAGCCTTGTTCTTGAGCCATGAACCAACATGGTTTCCCCACAGTGCCTCACACTTCAGCCACTCTGAAGGAGCCCAGACCACCATGGAGTCACCCAGCCTATTTGAGGATGGAGGCACTGGCTTGATAAGACCTTGGTGGTGGTTCTAACAGCTTCAGCAGTTCCAAAATTTGGTGTGTCAAATGCTTTCATTCAAAACACAGGGGCAGAGACAGGACCACCATGATCTGGAAGACCACTGGTGATAAACAGCAGCAGAATGAAGGAAAAGGCATTGGGGTGAGAATGACGGGGTGAAACCGAATGCTGTCCAGCGATATCCCAGGCATTCCCACATAATCTTTATTACAAGGGACCCCTCCACTGCCACATACCCACAGTCTGTCTCTCTTAGTTTGACCTCTCATAGAGAGGTAAGGCTGGAAGGGACTTGAAGCCATAGAGCATCTAAGACAGTGATTCTCAATGAGGATACCACCAGGTCTTTTGAAGGGTGGTGTATGGAGACAAGCAAGTAAACTTAAGCAGGTAAGTGCAGGGTCAGGCCATCCCTGCCTCAATGGACCCCCCGATCCCCATCCCCACTGCCAGGCCCCTCTGCAAGCACTGTAATCTATACACGTTTTGGGAAAGGGGTGCCACTTAATTCATAAGAGTTACAGAGGGTCCAAAAAAGGTTGAGAACCACTGATCTAAGGCAGAGGCAGATTAATGTATACTGAGGCCCTGGGCAAACACAAAATTGGAGGCCCCCTGCCCCAACTGAAACTGGGCTGTGGGGGAGACCCCCTCCCTACCAGGTGCTAGCAGGGGAGGCTGGGAGGATGCTGCTGAACTTGGTGGGCCGGGGCACATGCCCCCTTCTTCTCCCTGCTACTTGCCCATCCCCTCCCCTATGGCCAAATATACACACACACCAGTATGCACAAAGATGGATGCGCACACTACTCACTCACTCTGCACATGGACACAGACACAAACACCCTCTCCCTGCAATGAACACACACACATGCACACACACACAATGTGTACACACAGACGCTCACACAGAAACAGATTCATACAGATGCACAGATGTGCACACAGATGCATGCACGCCTAAATGCACACATACACAGATGCAGACATGCACCCATGTGCACACACAGACACATGCATACACACAGGCAGACATATGTGTGCAGAGTGACAGGCATGCACCCAGCCATATACCTTTCCCCTCACAGGACTCTCCTCCCCCCACCCCCCCCAACCACCCGCAGCTCCATTTTGTTCCTGCCCGTGCCCTTGTTGCACTGACCGGCAGGGAGCTGCTGCTGGGCTGTGTCCCTGTGGCTGCACACGTGCACAGACAGACCAGCTCAGGCCAGAAGCCCCGGACCATGCCTCTACATGAGGGTGGCAGCACTGGGAAGGGAGGCTCCAGGGAAGCCAAGGTGAATTCTGGGGGGACTATGCCCTCACCAGTACCACTGCCAGCCTGCAGAGGTGCAGCACACAGCAGTGCTGCCCCACCCCCTGCAGCATGGCGCTGCACAGCACTCCTGACCAGCCATCTCCAGCCTGCCCCCCAGACCCACTGGGGGAGGGGTCCCCCTCCCAGCTGCAGGGAAGCAAATACAAAAGCTGGAGTTTTAAACTTGGTGCCATTTTTGTCTCTCTGTTGGGAGACAGAAACATGCCAAGTTTAAAACCGGGGCTTTCAGTTCCTTGCTGATCAGGATCCCATGGCCTGGGCCCCAAATCAGTAGGGGCCCCTAGGCTCATGCCCAGTTGGCCTGTGCATTAATCCACCTAAGATTTAAGGGCACAAAAGACACACAAGTAGTTGGCTTATCTCCTCCCAGCAACCTTTCAGGCTGGGACGGTCCTTCAGGGCTCCCAGAATTAGGGGAAATGTGCCCTCTTGTGGCACCACATGGGAGTTCACCCTTACTGGATCAGTCCAGCTGCGTTTTGATGGGTCCACCACGAAGAGCAGGGATCAGCAAAAAGGGAGGAGTCAAATGAGAACTTGAGGACAAGTGACCCTGAAACGCTGCTGAGCGGAAGTGTGGAACTCAAGACACTCAAGCCCTCAGATGCTGCAATCCCTGCTTAACAGGAACGAAACTTGGAAACAGTGTGAAACAGCCCCGTAAGGGCAGCCTGGATACACCGTAACCTGAACCAGCACATTAGAGGGGAACAGGGTGCGGAAGGCACCATCTCCCCTTCAGCCTCCTGGAAAGCCTGCGATACACAATGTGCAGATGCAGAACAGTCCCACGTTGCCATTAAGAGCTGCCTATTTACAGTGTGTTTCATGCCACAGGAAGCTCATGACCCTGCAGCAATCAGAACTGCGGATGACATGACAGGGCTATGGAAACACGGCTACAAGGCGACTGCCCCCTCACTTGCAGATACAACCAGGGCCTGTGGTACTCACTGGTCAACGCTCTTGGCTATTGAGGCCATGATGAAGAGAACAGCTTCCGTCACCTCCCAGGGAGGGTTCCCATCCTTCAAGGTAGCATACAGCTGTGGGGAAGAAGGACTGTCACACAGAGCACCAGCCCAACCCAGCAGCCACTGGTCATCTTGTTGGCATGCAATGGCCAGTTCACTCCTTTACAATGGCCCGAGTGCAGCAGACACGTGGGCCTAGTTCCGGGCTAGCACCCATTTTTCTGTGACTGTAGCTGTTATCTGACATGCTGTATCAGTGCTGGCAATGTGTGTCAGGCTGCTATTCCTGAAGTGATCTCATAGGTGACTTCAGGTAACGCCCCCAGCTTCCCTCCCACTGTCTGCAGTGACTGCACAGTATACATACAGCTGGCAGGATGGGAGGAAGGAAGCCAGCAGGGCTCAGCCAGCTCAGGCACACACAACCCACTGGGAGCTGAAATGGGCTTTCAACACATCTGAGGCAAAGGAGGGAGGCAGGGAAAAAGGG